GTGTCCTTTGGAAGCCCAAGTACAGAAACAGAAGAAGCTCTGTGAAAATAGCAGCGTTTGGACGCCATTTCAGCTTCCTCTGCAATAACATTACAGTGCCTCTGGCCACGCCCCTTCATTGAGCGGGGTGTATGCACATGGTCTATACACATACCCTGAAGCGATTGTGATCTTGGGGATTGGGGATACTCATCCCTAGGCCCTCAGAGACTATGCAGCACCACTGATTCGATCCAAGACCAGCGACGAGATGATCCCAAGGTTTCCATAATCCTGGACCAGGACGTATCCTGAGCAGCTGCTGTGGTGGTCATGGAGCAGTGGAGAGCATGTGTTGCTCCAGGGACAGACAAGTCTCGCTGACGTCCAGCTTCTCCAGCGCCTAGACTGCAGCTCTGCACAAGAAGTTTGGCCAGAAGAAAAAATGGTTGTGTCAAACTGAGCCTGGTTTCTCTCGAGGTTTTTTAATTCTTCACTTTTGCCAAACTTTTTTTCTCGCCGCTGTCACCACTGGCTTGCATGGTTCGGGACCTGTAGAGCTGCACATCGATAGATTTGCTCTTCAGTGTTTGGACTCTCAGCAGTGAATATTAAACCACACTGAACTGAGCTAAACTGACCTGAACTTAAACACTGAAAACTGGACTGACACGTTTCAAATCACTATAATTTTCCATGTGAACTTGCCTTGACACAATTTACATTGTAAAAGGTCTATAGAAATACAGGGGAATTGAATCAAATTCAATCTCACTAGCCTGGAGGTATTATTTTGTAGTCCCCAAACTTCGTTCGCTATATGCTTTGCTAAGCTGACTCTGTAAAAGCGAATGTCTCCCTTTGCATTGAACTTTGAGCGTCTTGCATTCAGAGATCTTGTTCACACAGCTACATTACACATCAACTTTTAATCGATTTGCACAACATGAAAGAATTGTGTTGAACCCTGCAATTTTTGAAAGTGTAGAGCAGATGATAGACAGCGAGTGGTGTTCTTGAAGAATGCTTATGTATAGTGAGAGAAACGCTTGAGTTCTTCGTGTATTTCCTGCTCACGAACCTCGACATGGGAAAGCAAAGTTGCGCTAACAAAGCATGGAAACCCCTTTACGAACTCCAGAGGCCCGAGGCGATGATTGGGAGGAGAGAAATCAACCGTTGACACGCCGTCTCACCAATGAGTGCAGCTGGAGGAGTGAAGAAGCGTGTGTGAAATCCTCCAAAACATGCCATTGAGCTGATGAGCGGAGCGTGGCTCAACATGTCGAGCACTCCATGACACGCTGAGGGGGAGATGAATAATTAGAAGTTTATTGATAGGTAAACATGAGTAATAATGTTCTGTAGGTGTTTGTTAATCCAGGGCAACTCTGTGTGTGTGTGTGTGTTTTCTGAAGACTCTGGAGGAGTGATCCTCAGGTGATTCTGCTTAAAGGTGAAGACTGATTCCTTTATAAAGCGGCATGGTGTTTACTGCTGACCCTGCATGGGAACAAGTCTGGCAAAAATAATGGAGGATCTGTCATGTTGTAGATTTATGGGGTTGTATTTGGAAAAAGGGCTGTCAAGCTTCACAAAACAAGACATAAAAGGATCAGGTCTGTGTTTTTGTGAACATCGCTTGTATATGATGTTAGAGCTGTGGTGAAGCATCGTTCAGTAAATCATGGTGTTAAACTGCCGGTGTTAGTTTAAAATTATGACAGTTGAAGTAACTAGGTTAATTTCGATTAAAATCATTAATTAATTTTCGGCTTAGTCCCTTTATTAATCTGAGGTCGCCACAGCGGAATGAACCACCAACTTACCTAGCAAATGTTTTACTCAGCAGATACCCTTACAGCTGCAGCCCATCACTGGGAAACACCCATACACTCTCATTCACACACATACACTATGGACAATTTGGCCTACCCAATTCACCTGGAGCGCATGTCTTTGGACTTTTGGGTAACCGGAGCACCTGGAGGAAACCCATGCAAACGAGGGGAGAACATGCGAACTCCTCGTTTTAAATCAATTAGAAATAAATAAAGTATTAATCTAATTTTTTTTTCTTGTGGTTGGACAACTTTTGGGCTGGAAAATGTCAGCTATATCTGGCAACACTGGTGTTAGCTTGGCAACAGAACCAACGACAACACGCACAGAATCTATAAGCACAGTTCAGCACGGTTGTATTACCATGCTGATAGCTCCTGGCCCAGATCGGTTTGTAATCCTGCCGTGCCATTACAGGCCCAGTAAAGTAACAACCGTAACCGTACCAAACTTTTCTTAGAAGAGCAGCTTTTGACATTGATGACATATATGGCATTTATTAAAAACTATGGACCCATTGTGACATCTTAATTAATCTCTTCGCTTGACTTAAATGTATATGCAATATGTTATTCCATTTGGAAAGATATTTCATTTACTCTACTACAGTTGCATCGTGTTGGTATTCATTTTTTTTTTTTTTGAAAGGATTAAAAAAGGTAGTAAAAGGTATTAAATTCAGCTTAAGAAGTTCTGTATATACCCTGATATAATCTAAAAATATATAAGTAAATATATAAGTAAAAATAAAAATTGCACACAATACAATTTCAATTAACTTATTAGTTATTAGTCAATTAACTTATTGGTTTTTACAATTGTAAGTGGATTAAACATAAAACAATCAAGTTGTTAGCGGTGCCAAACAGCATTTCCCGTTGTTTACATCCTTTCTACAACATATCGATAACGCTAGACACTGTGCATGTCATAGATCAATTTTAACAAATATAAATACTTACAGATTGTGGCTCACAATTCTCAGCTTCGAATATTATGGTTGGAGCTGCTCCTTTGAGGAGTTTTTAGCCGAACTGGGAGAGATTCTGACCCGGGGTTAAACCCCTACTCTTTTTCGAAGGACATCCTGGGATTTTTAATGTCCACGGAGAGTCAGGACCTCGTTTTATGTCTCATCCGAAGGACGGAGTTCACTAAGCAGTATAGAGTCCCCGTCACTATACTGGGGCATTAGGACCCACTCACACCGCAGGTTGAGTGCCCCCTGCTGGCCTCACTAACACCACTTCCGGCAGCAGCCAAGCCTTCCCATGTGGGGAAATGGTCCCATCTTCAATAAGTAGTTTGAACAAGCAGCAAAAGCTTTTTTTTTTTTTTTTTTTTGAGTGTCTTTTTTTAAGATTAATGAAAACAAGCAGCATAATTTTTTTCAACAGAAACATTACCCTGTTCCACAGAATGAAAACATTTCAACATTTATAAAAAGTGCTGAGATTTGTTTGTTTGTTTTGGTGAAATACTCCTCCAGGGCACAGTGGCACAGCTCCTGGATTCTGGAGTATTTTGCGGGGACTTTACGTGATAGTTCATCCCACGCTTTTGAGCAGTTTGATGTGGTTGAGAGGTTTGATCTGGTTCCTCCACACGCTGGCTCTGATCGGCTGCAGAGAAACGCCCGGCTCCCAGCGGCATGTGACTCAAAATAGACGCTGATGTTCGCACTGTGACCCCGACACCCATCCGTGACTCGCCCGGCTTCACCCGCTTGTTGCCCCGGGCGTCCGCGAGCGCACAGATGAATGTGGTATTGTGTGTGTGTGAAGAGTGCATACCAGGCCGAGGTCAAGCGGACGCAGTAAAAACACAGTAAAAACCACATCGATCTGCTCTTGTTCAGTGTTTGGATCTGATCATCAATGCAGTGGATTGTTCAGTAGCTCAGTGCTTAGCACTGTCACCTCACAGAAATAAGGTCGCTGGTTCGAGTCCCGTCTGGGTCAGTTGGAATTTCTGCGTGGAGTTTGCCACATGTTGGTGTGGGTTTCCTCCCGGTGTTCCGGTTTCTCCCACAGTCCAAAGACATGCGCTATAGGTGAATTGGCTGTAGCGTATAAGTGTGAATGGGTGTTTCCCAATACTGGGTTGCAGTTGGAAGGAAATCCACCGTGTAAAACATATGCCAGAATAGTTGGTGGCTCATTCCACTGTGGTGACCCCTGATAAATAAGAGACTAAGCCAAAGGAGAATGAATAATTTTAAATTTAGCCTTCATATGCTTACCAGTTGACTTCTTCCAAACCAGTTGGACTTTGTGTTTTTCTGAGCACAAATGAGGATTTATTTTATATTTTTTCAAAGAATGTTGGGAATCGGTATCCGTTGGCATATATATAATGTTAAATAATATCTGTTAATTAACAGTGTCTGTATTTTGTGATTCACCAGTGTTTTCTGTTCATTCATTGTTGTGAATCGCGTTATAGGAGCTTGATCTCCGCTCTGTCGACTTCTGATGTTGATATTTGGACCTTAAAGGGATTGTGCAGCCCTGAAAATGACAATTCAGTCATTTATTCATTTGTGTTTGGTTTCAATATTATGCACAACTTTCTTTTCTTTTTTTATGCAAATGTGTGATAGAATAGTCCATTGCAAAAGATGCCATATTTTCCACAAGTTCAAGCAGTTTATAGGGTTTAGGGAGAGAGAATGGAGAGGGTTTATATAATGGAGAGTGTCGCCCTCTTCTGTTGGTTGCCATGTTCAGGCTTTAAAACTTTAAAGGTTTTTACTCCGTACAGTATAATCAATTTTAATTACGGAATCTGTAAAACATAAACCATTGTTGTGGATATAATAATCAGAATGAAAACATTGAACTTAAAAACAATTTATATATATATATATATATATATATATATATATATATATATATATATATATATATATATTTTTTTTTTTTTTTTTTATATATATATATATTTATAAAAAATACAGTTAAACATCACTTAACAAACTATTTAAAACGAATTAAAATTTCACAGGAATGCTCATAATTTGCTCTATTGTAATGGAAATAAAAATCTAAAAGTATTTGATATTTGTTTCATCTGTTTTAATGCACCCTTGTTGAATAAAAATATAGAATAATGTTTTTTTTTAAATCATACTTCAGTGAAATACTTAACGTGTTTTTCTCTGTGTGTTTTCTCTACAGGACTCTGATTCCTCTGTTTGATTCAGATTCTGGCCTGCTCATTTTATCTGGAAATGTGAGTAACATCATTAATAACTTCAGCTTATATAGTTTATCATGTAAAATATTACTGTAAAAAATATTACGAGAATAAAGTCACCAATAAAGTCAAAATATTAAGAGAACAAAATATTACAAGGATAAAGTTGTAGTAACACGAGATTTTATATATATATATATTTTGATATTGATATGTGTATATGTATATATATTTTTTATTACTCAATACATTTCAACTTTATTCTTGTAATATATATATATTTTTTTTTGTTAATTTTCAGTTTTTTTTTCTCACGTTATTGCAACATTATATTCCTAATATTTTTACTTTATTCTAGTAACATTTCGGCTTTATTTTTGTAATATTTCAACTTTATGATTGATTTATTTTTCCTTTATTCTATAAATATTTCAGCTTTATTCTTGTATTTTTTCGATTTTATTCTCGTAATTTTTATACTTGATTCTCGAGACATTTCATCTTTATTCTCTTAAAATGTATTATGTACTATATATTTATTAAGACTTTACTTTCAAAATATTCTGACTTTAATCTTGCAATCTTATATACACATATACAGTTGTTTTATGGTTTCAGTAATACACCGTTGTATGCATCTGCTGTTTCCTCAGGGCGAGAGTGTGATCGACTGTTTTGAGGTGAACACCAGCGAGCCCTTCCTGTCTCAAGGTAACTCTCATGCATTTTTCCGTGGTGTTGTTGTGAGACCTCTGTGTGTGTGTTTGTTAAAGTTGATCTGTTCTTTGGTTTTCGGTCAGTGAGTCAGTGTGTGGCAGACAGCTCGAGTCGTGGTGTTTGTCTGCTGCCGAAGCTGGCTCTGGACATCAGCTGCTGCGAGGTGCTGCGACTCATGCAGCTCACCGAAAACTTCATTGTGCCCATCAGCTACCAGGTGCCCCGCAAGGTGAGGATTAACACACCACAGCTTTTTTATCAATCTTTTTTTTCAGGTCAGCTTTAACACTATTAAACACAGCCTGAGCTGATCAACTGACCATATAAAGGTTCATGATAAGCTGTTTTCAGTATAAGCTGACAACATATTACAGTTTTATTTAATTAAAAACAAAATGCTTAATTAAAAGGATTTTATAAATGGTTAAACAATGTGGAAAAATACTTAATAACCAAAATAAATATTAATAAATATATATAAATAATAAAAAATATAATCCAAAAAATATAAAAAATAAAATATATAATTATTAAATGAATTAAATAAATATAAATAATTAAATATATAAATAATTAAATAAATAACATGTAGACAACTATAAATATTAATGGTTTATCTGTTATTCTATATATATATATATATATATATATATATATATATATATATATATATATATATATATATATATATATATATATAAAATTGTATTTTTTTACTCAAAACATTTCAGCTTTATTTCCGTTGTAATTTTTCGATTTTTTTTCTCTCACAATATTTCAACTTTATTCTCTAAACATTTCAGCTTTATTTTTGTAATATTGTAATAACTTTTTTCTCATAATATTTTGAGTTTATTCTTATAACAATTGGACTTTATTCTTAAAAAATTTAAACTTTATTCTCATAATATTTTGAGTTTATTCTTGTAATAATTGGACTTTCTTCTTTAAAAACGTAAACTTTATTCTCATATTATTTTGACTTTATTATTGAAACATTTCAACTTCATTCGTATATTATTTCAACTTTATTCATGTAATATTTTGACTTTATTCTCTAAACATTTCAGCTTTATTTTCGTAGTATTTTAACTTTATTATTGAAATGTTTTGACTTTATCATCATAATATTTCAAGTAGTTATTGTTAATATTAATAATAATATTATTGTTGTTGTGTTCAAATCAAATCACTTTTATTGTCACATCATCAGCAGCATGTGTGCAATGATGAGTGAAAAGCTTAGGTGCTGGCTCCATACGACAATTACAGTGCAAAACACAGACAGGGCAAAATACTACAACATACAACAACATACTCCCAAAAAAACAAAAACAAAAAAAAACAGGACAATGTAAAATTGGCAATGTTGACAGCAATATGTACAATGAATAGGTGTAATGTAACAATTTAACAATTTAAATGTTTTTTAAATCCCTTTATGTTTATGTTATATTGGTGTTGTTGTTATTGTTATTGTTATTATTATTATTATTGCTATTGCTAATATTATTATTATTATTGCTGCTATTGTTATTGTTATTATTATTATTGTTGTTATTATTATTATTACTATTATTAATATTATTTTATTGTTGTTGCTATTATTGTTATTATTATTATTATTCATGTATTGTTGTTGTTATTGCTATTATTATTATTATTATTGTTATTGCTATTATTATTTTTTTTTTATTATTATTATTGCTATTATTATTATTATTGTTATTGCTATTATTATTATTATTATTATTGCTATTATTATTGTTATTATTATTATTATTATTATTATTATTGGTATTATTATTATTGCAACAGTTATAAAAATCTCTATGTATTGTTATTTGTTTTATAAATATATATATATATATATATATATATATATATATATATATATATATATATTATATAATTATGTAAGAATTAATAATATATTAATAATATTAATAATATATTATATAACAATATAATATATTGTTTTGGTTGATGTAAAAATAATTTTTATACCATAAACACCTTTGTGTCTTCATGAAAGTTTGAAACCAGACGATGTGGTTGTGTGTTTCAGGCAGGACAAGACTTCCATGCGGACTTGTATCCAGACACTGTGGGTCACACAGCAGCCATGAGTGCCGACGAATGGTGGAAAGGAGACAACAAACAGGTCTGTTTAATATGAATCAATTCACTCATGCTTTACTCTTTGATTAGCGCTGGATTTATTACTTTGAACTGGCAGGTATGACATAGTTAAAGAGAAGAGCGTGATCAGAGGTGAAAAGCGAAATCATTTCAGATGCACAGTAAGCTTTATTGACTTTGTAAATGTTGATTGAACTCTATTACTCGTCTCTGTGTGTGTGTCAGGTGGAGAGGGTCAGTCTTCACCCCAGCAAAAGGCCAAAACCAGCAGCTCCGTCTGCTCAGGAGAAAGCACAGAAGGATCTTTCCCGCGGCAAGAGCAAAGAGGTTTGTACAGGACATTTTCTATTTCTATACGCTGCAAATTGTGATGAAGCAAGCAGTAGACAAAAATCAGGCATGATGTTTTATTAGAGTGAAACGATTTATAACCATGGACCAGAAAACCAGTCATAAGTGTACAGTTTTGGAAACTGAGATTTATACTTCAGCTGAAGTCTGGGTGAATAAGCTGTCAACGGATGTAAACTTTGTTAGGACAGATACACCAATTTAAAATAAGCAATCTGTGGATTGAAAAACATAAAAATACTGAGAAAATCACAGTTAAAGGTGCAGTAGGTGATTGTCTTCTGAAGCATTTGTTGTTGTGCTGGTTGAAAGTCTCTTCACAGTCTAATAGTAATGATTAAAGGAAGTGAATTAAATGTGTTGATTTGTATTTTTATATTTTGGGTAAAGCATAAAACTAAATTAATCCAATTAAGTAGCCCAATCCAGATAAGTAGCCCAATCTGTCTGTCAGCAAATGCAGATTTGAACAACTGAGCAGTCGTTTGTACGTAGCTCCGCCGACCGTCGCGCTTTCACGAGAGAGAGCACGCACACGTGCGCGATTGTTAAAAAACCTGCTAAATGCTCACCACAAAACTAGCAATGTGAGCTAACAAAATTAATATGTTTAGTTTTGATTTCAGGTGTACTTTACAGTTGTTTAGATTAAGTACTTAGCAATGCACATTACTAGTCAAAAATGTGATATATTTGCTGTAGAATATTTACCGAATGTCTTCGTGGAACATTGTCTTTGTTAAATTTGAATGGTTTTCGGCACACTGCAAAGGTCTTCTTTATTGTCTCGTTTCTAGTTTAAATATCTAAAAATTCTTAAATCAAGAAGCATTTTCCAGACAAGCAAAAAGTATTATCCTATTCTCAAAAAATCACGTTTCAAAATTAAGTGAGTTTTTCCTTCCAAACTAATCTGCCAATGAGGTGAGCAAAGCAATCTTGTTTTTGCTTTGAAATAATATTTTGAAAAACTTCTTATACACTAAGCTGAAACAACACAATTCTTTAGTTTTTTGGGACAACATAATTGTTTTTTGTTCAATCCACTAAAATTTGTCAAATCTAATACTTATTTCCTTCATGTTGTCCCAACACAAATCGATTGTGTAGAACCCAGCAGTTTTTACAGTGCATAATATTACTTTTTGTTTCCCGAAACTAATGAGGAACATGAGGTGAAGTGTTCACAGTCTTCACAGAAGTGTCTGATGGTGTTTTGTGGTGTTTTTTAGGAGGCCTCGAGCTCCAGCAGTCCTCTCAGCAGCCCCAGCAGCAGCGCAGTCCCGTCCCGCTCGCCCTCCTCCACCAGCGGCCTGTCGTCCGGCTTCGTACCCAGCCCTAGCCCCAGCCAGAGCTCCCGCGCCATCCACAACATGCTCGGTCAGTCCTCAGCCGATTCATACTCGCAGATCTAAAATTAAAAAAGGACATGTTATGCTTTATACACTTTGACCTTCTTCTCCTTTTCTGAACACACACAAATGTCTTGATTAACTGGACGTTTCTGAGACGTTTGGACTTGTTGGTGGTAACAGTCTAGATCAGGGGTCACCAATCTCGGTCCTGGAGGGCTGGTGTTCCTGCAGGGTTTAGCTCCAACTTGCCTCAACACACCTGTAGGGATGTTTCAAGTGTACCTAGTAAGACCTTGATTAGCTTGATAAGGTGTGTTTGATTAGGGTTGGAGCTAAAATCTGCAGGACACCGGCTCTCCAGGAAAACGTTTTGATGATCCTTTGGTCTGGAGCACACAGCGTCCATTTCTCCCATTAAATACCTGCAATACTGATTTATGTGACCACAGGACACGTTTCCACTGTGTGATGGTTCGTCCCAGATGCCTCTGAGCCGAGAGAAGTTGACTGGACACTGTTAACATAGGGCTTCCTTTTGGCGCAGTGCAGTTTTAACTTGCATTTGTGGATGTAACTACACATTGTGGTATTGACAAAGGTTTGCCCAAGTAGTCCTGAGCCCATGTTCTGATATCGCTTATGTTTGAATAAGGATTGATGCTGTGCCGCCTGAGGGATCAGTGATCACAGTTTTTCAGCTTAGGCTTCCGTTCTTGTCTTTTACAGTATCCAGAATCCTCAAGATTCCTTGAATCTTTTAATGATGTTATGCTCTGTTGGTGGTGAATTATCCAAATGACTTCCTCTCTTTCATTGTGAAACATTTTTTTAAACATTTCAGTAATTTTCTAGTGTATTTGTTTTTTTGACAAATTGACGATCCTCAGCCCATCTTTGCTTCTAAAGGTCTATACCTTTCACGGATGCTGGTTTTTGTCAAAGACATGTCACCCTGCAGCCCAAGACCGGTTACTCACTGAAGCTAAGCAGGGCTGAGCCTGGTTAGTACCTGGATGGGAGACCACTAGGGAACACTAGATTGCTGTTGGAAGTGGTGTTAGTGAGGCCAGCAGGGGGCGCTCAACCTGTGGTCTGTGTGAGTTCTAATGCCCAAGTGAAGGGGACACTATACTGTCAGTGGGCGCCGTCTTTCGGATGAGACGTTAAACTGAGGTCCTGACTCTCTGTGGTCATTAAAAATCCCATGGCACTTCTCGTGAAAGAGCAGGGTTGTAACCCCGGTGTCCTGGCCAAAGGTTCTCTATCGGCCCATACGATCATGGCCTCCGAATCATCCCCTTCCACCGAATTGGCTCTATCACTATCTCTCCACTCCACCTATAGCTGGTGTGTGGTGAGCGCACTGGCGCCGTTGTCCTGTGGCTGCCGTCGCATCATCCAAGTGGATGCTACACACTGGTGGTGGTGTTGAGAGACCCCCCCTCATGATTGTGAAGCGCTTTGGGTGTATGGCCATACACAATAAATGCGCTATATAAATACACATTACATTACATTGTACCAAATCATATTTACAGTCACCTGTTGAGTTTGCCAGTTTCAAATCCAACCATTATTTAATCAGTTTACCTGATTACTAGCCCTAAACTGCTCCTGTCCTAACTTTTTTGTAATATGTTGACGGTCTGAATGACAGCAAAGAATATATATTTACAAATAAAATGAAGTTTACCAGACGAAACATCAAATATTTTGGGTTCATATTGTCTGCAATGAAATACAAGTCAAAGTAAATTTTAGTAATCACTACTTTATTTTTTATTTTCGTCTTCCATAATGTCCCAACTTTGTTTGATTCTGGGTTGTAGTAATAGCTGATCATTATGAATTATGATAATGGCTTGCTGAACTAAGCCAGAGTGCAAATTGTAACATTATTCATGTTGAAAACACTTGTGCTTATTAATAGGTTGGTGCAGATATTTTTCAGGATTCTGGAAAGTTCCAAAAAAAAGCATTTATTTGAAAATAAATTATATTTTAGCACGTAAATGTCATGATCTGTTGCATGAAAGCGGACCCAGTTGCAGCGATGAAAAATACACAGGTATTGACGGAATTAGGCACAAGTAGACTGAAGGGAATAACAAGGTCCAACTAGTGGGGGCAATAACTAACTAGGCCCACACGGAATCTGCGCACACAGGTTTCAGAAGATTTTTAGCCCATCATTATTCTATTTATTTACTTGAGTAAACATGTGGTAATCTAAATTTATTCAATTTTTAAATTAATTTCTGTAATATTGTTGACTAATGTAAAAATGTTCATCTGATTTATGTACAATGCAGTTTGTACAGTAATATTTTCTGTCTTTTAGTAGAGATATTATATGAGAGACTTGCTTTGTTTACCAAATAAAGTGAATGTAATTGGATTTGCATTTTAAACATTAAATAAAAGTTTAAAAGATATTATTTTTTATTTCACATATTAAGGTTTTAGTTCTGATACTCCCAAAATAATTGAGAGGGTGCTCGCTGCAGAGTCATTTGAGGAGAACTGAGCTCCAGCGAGGGGGAGCATGAGCTGTCGCTCCTCCTCCTGTAAGCTGTTTTAATGCGTACACCAACCCCACCCCTAACCCTACCCCCAGTGACATCACTCGTAGAAGAAGTGCAAAAAAGGTGGAGCTCAAGCTTAAGCTCCCCCTCGCTGGAGCTCAGCTCTCCTCAAATGGCTCTGCAGCGAGCACCACTTGAAATAATTCAGCAGAAATTTGCAGGTTTTTACCAAAATTCTCCACAGAAATATCAAAAAATGTCTGCAGATTCTGTCTGCCCCTAGCAATAACACAGGGAAGCCAGTGGTAGGGACAAGATGGCACCAAAATGAACAGCCAATCAGGAGTCAGGAGTTTCAGTAGTCAAAACCAGAGCTAGATCCTGGAGCAAGCCAAGTAAACTTAAGACTGGCAGGACAGGGAAGTCTGGACACAGGATAGGACTGGAAAACACACAAGACAGGACATCAAACAGGCAGCAATAGTATACAACAAAACTAACTAAATCTAAAAGAAAATATGAAATCCTAGGGAAAGAACAGAACTAAACTGACTTGGGCAATCAGATAAAACTGAAATAAAAACTTCCAAAGTCTCAAAGAGAGAAATTGAACAATCAAAAAATAATAATAATAATAATAATCAACTATTAGTATAAGACTGGGAATGGCAGAAAAATGGAACAAAAATGGTTCTAAAGATAAAAGTAAGACGATGATTAGAACACTAAATTAATTAAACACTAGGAACAAACAAAAGAAGGTAGTAGCTAACAATAAGTAGACAAGATAACTAGATCAGGCAAGACAAAATGCTCAGTAGGGATAAGCTACAAGACAAGCTCACTTGGAACAAACCAGCAAAGAAATGAGAATACATCTAGTACTACATAAAACAAAGCACACGAGAGACAGGTGAAAACAATCAGGATAACAAAGTCTAAAAAAGAGAGCCGGGTAACGGAAAACACAGAGGAAAGACAAGAGGAACTGATGGTCAACACAAATAAAGGCAAAGCAATGTAAACAAGCAAAGGACAAACAGGGAAACATTAAACACAGACAAGACGGACAAAACTGTCAGGTCAGGACCATGACTATAAATACCTTTACACTAGGGGTGTCCAAACTCAGTCCTGGAGGGTGGATGTTCTGCATAGTTTAGATCCAACCCCAATCAGACACACCTGGGTTGGCTAATCAAGCTCTTAAGCTGCAGTCATATCAGAGTTTGAGCATGCGATATTCTGTCGTGCTGCGCTGCGAAAAGGGGCGGGATTAAACAAGATTATTAGACATAAAAAAAAAGTGATTGCTCCATGTTTTAAATTTTTATGTCCAAAGAGGTCATGTTTTGATCCTCGATTGGTCTCACGCAGTCAAGTGATGCGATTTCACAGGTCAGAGTTCACCAAGCTTGAACTTTGCACTGCAGCAACCCGCGAAACATGATGCATGACTCTGCGTTTCCGGTCTGACGCATTCGCGTGCGTATGAATGGAAGTCTATGGGAGGAAAAGCCCAGTGTGACCGCAGCTTTACTAGGCTTGCTAGAAATGTCCTGGCAGGTGTGTTGAGGCAAGTTGGAGCGAAAATCTGCAGGATACCGGCCCTCTAGGACTGAGTTCGGGCACCCCTGCTTTAGACTCTGACTATTGATCATTTTAATCCATCCTTGCTAAACACAACAATTCATTTACACTTTATATGATAGTGTATAGACCACATATCATCGAAATGCTGGACCATATCTCATTATAATACTTTTTTTTAGTTGTGTAAATGATCAAACCACTCATTGTGTGATTTTCAGGCCCGAGTTCGAAGTTTCGTCACATCCAGGGTTCAGTTCTGCACCGGGACACTCACATCACTAACCTGCGCGGGCTTCACCTGACCACCCCAGGAGAGTGTGATGGATTCTGCGCCAATGGGCAGCGTGTGGCGGTTCCTCTGGCCATCGCCGGTGGGCAGATCGCCGTGTTTGAGGTGCGTCTCTACATATGCATCTCTTCTCCTCCAGACCTCAGATTTATTAACAGTGTTTTTCTGCTGGATCTGTGTTTTTGCAGTTGTCCCAGCCTGGAAAGCTGCCGGACACAGCTCTGCCCACCATCCAGAACTCTGTCAATGTGGCCGACTTCTGCTGGGACCCCTTTGACCCTCACAGGCTGGTTGTGGGTGAGTTTTCATTGCTTATTTTATTCATAAAAATCATGTTTGAGTAGTGAAATCTGAACTTCGGCGCTGGTTTCTGATGTGTTTTTCTTAAAGCTGGTGATGATGCCAAGATCCGCGTGTGGCAGATTCCCAAAGGAGGCCTGCAGGAAACCCTGACGGAGCCGGAGTGTGTCCTGCGGGGTGAGAAACCAAACCAGCATATGTGACTCTGAACTGTTGTTGCTGTAGTTGTGCAGTGTGTGTGTGATTTACATGCGCTCTGACCAATGGCAGGACACACTGAGAAGATCTACTCCGTCAAGTTCCACCCACATGCAATCGGTCTGCTGGTGTCATCATCATACGACCTCACTGTCAGACTATGGAGCCTGGAGACTGGAGAACAGGTCAAACAGCTCAGCGGACATCAGGACCAGGTCTTTTTGTACCTTCATCATTCATTCATCCATTCATTCATCCATTTTTCCATGCATTAAGTCATTCATCTATCCATCCATTTATTCATCCGTCCATCCAGTTATTCTTTAATCAATCCATCCATCTGCTTATTCTACTGTCATCTAAATATCCTTCTATCATCCCACCACCATCCATTAATTAATTCATTCATCAGTCCATCCATCCATCCATCCATCCATCCATCCATCCATCCATCCATCTATTCATTTATCAATCCATCCATCTATCATCCAAATATCAGTCTATCATTCATCGATCTATTCATTCATTCATTCATTAATGCTTACGTTCATCAATACAGGCATTCATTCTTTCTTTCTTTCGTTAAATTATTAATGCATTACTTCATCCATCCATCCATCCACCCATACATTCATTCATCCATTAATTCATCCATTTTTCCATCCATTAAGTCATTCGTCTATCCATCCATTTATTCATCCATTCATCCAGCTAATCTTTCATCAATCCATCCATCTGTTTATTTTACTGTCATCCAAATATCCTTCTATCATCCCACCACCACCCATTAATTAATTCATTCATCAGTCCATCCATCCATCCATCCATCAGTCCATCTATTCATTTATCAATCCATCTATTCTATCATCCAAATATCATTCTATCATTCATCAATCTATTCATTCATTCATTCATTAATGCTTACATTCATCAATACAGGCATTCATTCTTTCTTTCTTTCGTTAAATTATTAATGCATTACTTCATCCATCCATCCACCCATACATTCATTCATCCATTAATTCATCCATTTTTCCATCCATTAAGTCATTCGTCTATCCATCCATTTATTCATCCATTCATCCAGCTAATCTTTCATCAATCCATCCATCCGTTTATTTTACTGTCATCCAAATATCCTTCTATCATCCCACCACCATCCATTAATAAATTCATTCATCAATCCATCCATCCATCCATCCATCCCTCCATCCATCCATCCATCTATTTATTCATCAATCCATCTATTGTATCATCCAAATATCATTCTATCATTCATCGATCTATTCATTAATTAATTCATTCATTCATTCATTAATGCATTCATTCATCAATACATCCATTCATTCTTTCCTTCGTTAAATTATTAATGCATTACTTCATCCATTCACTCATACATTCATTCATTTATCCACCCACTCATCCATTAATTCTTTTATTCATTAATCCATTCATTCATTCATCTGTTCATTCATCTATTAATTCATCTATTTATTCATTCATTCATTTATTCGTCTATTCATCTATCTATCCACTTTCATTCATCCATTCATCCATAAATCTATATTTATCAATGTATCTATCTTTCCATTCATTCATCCATCCATCCATCCATCTATTGTTTAGTCATCTATTCATCGATCAGTTTTTGCGGCCATCCTTTTTTGTTTGTTCATTTATCAATTAATTCATCCATATTTTAACATCCATATATCCTTCTATCATTCTTGCATCCATTTCTCCATTTATTTGTTTTCCATATATTCATCCATTTATCCATCCATCTATACATTAGTCCATTTATCCATGTACTGTATTATCCATTTTTCGTCTATTGTTTAGTCATCCATTCATTCATCTGTCAGTTTTTGCAGCCATCCTTTTATCTGTTTATCAATTTCCCCATTTATCAATTAATTCATCCATCCAATTTTTCATCCACCCTTTCATTTTACATCCACCCACCTATTCTTCTATCCGTTTCATAATTATCCATCCATACATTGTCCCACTATTATCCATATATTCCTCTTTCACTCCTCTATCCATCCATTTCTCCATTGTCCATTTCTTCATTTCCATCTATCCATCTATATGATTTTCCATTTATCTGTTTTTCATGCATCCATCCATCCATTTATTCATTCATTGATGATCCATCTTTTATTCATCCATTGGTTCATTTTTCCAATTTTCCATTTAACTAACTGTTCATCCATTCATCATGCCATTTAAGGATCTCTCAGATTTTGAATCCATCCCTTTATGCTTTCACTTATCTGTTTATCTGTCCAGCGTTTATACAATGTTATACAATGGTTCAGATCTTACCTCTCTGACAGGTCATTCAGGGTGTCTTGGAGGGGAGAGGTGTCCAACCTACAGCATCTAAACACTGGGGTACCTCAAGGCTCTGTTCTTGGGCCACTTCTCTTCTCCATCTACACATCATCTCTAGGACCAGTCATCCAGAGACATGGATTCTCCTACCACTGCTATGCTGATGATACCCAGCTATACCTCTCTTTTCATCCTGATGATCCCTCGGTTCCAGCTCGTATCTCAGCCTGCCTGTTGGATATTTCACACTGGATGAAAGATCATCATCTTCAGCTGAACCTCGCAAAAACGGAAATGCTTGTAGTTTCTGCCAACCCGACTCTACAACATAACTTTTCAATCCAGATGGATGGGGCAACCATTACTGCATCCAAAATGGTGAAAAGCCTTGGAGTAACGATTGATGACCAACTAAACTTCTCTGACCACATTTCTAGAACTGCTCGATCGTGCAGATTTGCACTCTATAACATCAGAAAGATCCGACCCTTCTTATCTGAACATGCAGCTCAACTCCTTGTTCAAGCTCTTGTTCTCTCCAAACTGGATTACTGCAACTCTCTACTAGCTGGGCTTCCAGCTAACTCTATCAAGCCTCTTCAACTGCTCCAGAATGCAGCAGCACGAGTTGTCTTCAATGAACCTAAACGAGCACATGTCACTCCGCTGCTAGTCCGTTTGCACTGGCTGCCAGTTGCTGCTCGCATCAAATTCAAAACTCTGATGTTTGCCTACAAAGTGACTTCTGGCCTTGCTCCTTCTTATCAGCTCTCACTTCTGCAGATCTATGTGCCCTCCAGAAACTTGCGTTCTGTGAATGAACATCGCCTCGTGGTTCCATCCCAAAGAGGGAAAAAATCACTTTCGCGAACGCTCACGCTCAATCTGCCCAGTTGGTGGAATGAACTCCCTAACTGCATCAGAACAGCAGAGTCACTCGCTATTTTCAAGAAACGACTAAAAACTCAACTATTTAGTCTCCACTTCACTTCCTAATCTGCAATTGCCTCTTTGAATATCACACTAACTGTACAAAAAAAAAAACTACTAACACTTCCCTTCTTAGACTTTACAGACCTGAAACTTGCCTTTAGTACTTATTCATTGTTGCTCTTAGTTGTGTAAATTGCTTCCTTGTCCTCATTTGTAAGTCGCTTTGGATAAAAGCGTCTGCTAAATGACTAAATGTAAATGTAAATGTTTATCAGTCTATTGATTTTCCGTCCATCAGTTTTTGCAGCCATCCATTTATATGTTTTTCTATCCATCTACCAATCAATCCATCCATCCATTTTTCATCCTTCCATCTACCAGTTTTCATATTCAACCAACCATTTTTCCTTCTGTCACCCATCCATCTGTTTTTTAATTGGTCTGTTTTCCTTCATCTGTCCATACATCATTTATTCTTCCATCTGTTCATTTTTTTACATTCAAACGTTTCCTGCCTGTTCATCCATCCATCCATCATTCCATTTAAGCATCTATCTGATTTTTCATCCATCCATCCATCTGTTTCTCCATTGATCCATCTGTTGTTTATCCATTCATCATTCATTTAGAAAATTTCACTGATCTTGCATCCTTCCATCCAGTTTCTTCAGTAATCCATTCATCTCTTTATCCATCCATCCATCCATCCATTCATCCATCTGATTTTCATCCATCCAATTTCATATCCATCTATTTGTTTTCCATCTCTCCTTCAACCATTTTATCTATCCACTTTACAATATTATCCATCTATCCATTTTCTTCCATTCATCCATTGTTTGGTCATCCATCCTTTCATCCATCAGTTTTCCCATGTTTTTTTCATTTATGTTTTCCATCAGTCCATCATTTGTTCATCCATCTATCCTTAAATATATGTATGGAGTCAACTCTCTGTGTTCTCTCGTTCAGATCTTTGGCATGGCTTGGAGTCCTGATGGGAAACTGCTGGCCACTGTGTGCAAAGATGGAAAAGTGCGTTTGTATGACCCACGCAAGTCCACCTCACCCATCCAGGTCAGTTTAGCATCAGGTGAATGTTATTCAGAAACAAAATAAATCATCTATTTCACCATGTTTTCCTGACTCTCTCCTTGCAGGAGGGTCCGGGACCTGAGGGCCAGAGAGGGGCCCGAGTAGTTTGGGTCTGTGGTGGCAAGTTCCTGATGGTTTCAGGATTCGACAGGTACATTTAGCCCAAAATCATATTGGTGCTAACAGGTTTCTTTCTGGCTCTATAATAGCTTTAATGGTTTATTTCTATAACAGTCGCAGTGAAAGACAGCTGTACCTGTTCTCCGCTGAGTCCTTGGCATCCGGGTCTCTGGCCTCTGCTCCTGCTGATGTGTCTCCCTCGACCCTCATCCCATTCTATGATCCCGACACCAGCGTCCTCATCCTCACTGGGAAGGTGCGTGAGTGTGCTTTAGACTTTAAATGATCCTTAGTTTACATTATTTATACCCAAATGAATCTAATAATGTTCTTGCAAACTTTCAGGGCGACACTCGGGTTTACATCTACGAGATCGTGCCTGAAGCGCCGTACTTCATGGAATGTAGTAGTTTTAATTCCTCCGAGCCACACAAGGTATTGTTGTTGTTGTTGTTCCAATATTCCTGATTATTAGTACAGTTATAGCTTTGATTTCATGAAGTGGTGTCTAGGTCATAATTTACATCAAAGAAGAGCAGAAAATGTATTATGTTTTGCATAAAGAAAACAGAAAGTGCTATTCTGTGAATCTTAAAACTTCCCATTCTATCCATATATCTATATCCATCCATCCATCCATCCATATATCTATATCCATCCATCCATCAATCTATCCATCCATATATCTATATCCATCCATCAATCAATCAATCCATCCATCCATATATCTATATCCATCCATCCATCAAACAATCCATCCATATATCTATATCCATCCATCAATCCATCCATCTATGTATATATCTATATCCATCCATCCATCCATCCATCCATCCATTTATCTATATCTATCCTTCCATCCATCAATATATCTATATACATTCATCCATATATGTATATCTTTCTATCAATATATCTATATCAATCCATCCATATATTTATATCCATATATCTATATCCATTCATCCATACATCCATCCAAATATCTATATCCATCCATCAATCCATCCATCCATATATCTATATCCATCCATCCATCCATCCATCCATCCATCTATCTATATCCATCCATCCATCCATCCATCCATCAATCTATCCATCCATATATCTATATCCATCTATCAATCAATCCATTCATCCATATATCTATATCCATCCATCCATCAAACAATCCATCCATATATCTATATCCATCCATCCATCAAACAATCCATCCATATATCTATATCCATCCATCAAACAATCCATCCATATATCTATATCCATCCATCAATCCATCCATCTATGTATATATCTATATCCACCCATCCATCCATCCATCCATCCAATTATTTATATCTATCCTTCCATCCATCAATATATCTATATACATTCATCCATATATCTATATCTTTCTATCAATATATCTATATCAATCCATCCATATATTTATATCCATATATCTATATCCATTCATCCATACATCCATCCAAATATCTATATCCATCCATCAATCCATCCATCCATATATCTATATCCATCCATCCATCCATCCATCCATATATCTATATCCATCCATCCATCCATCCATCCATCCATATATCTATATCCATCCATCCATCCATATATCTATATCCATCCATCCATCCATCCATCAATCCATCCATCCATATATCTATATTCATTCATCTATACATCTATCCATGTATCTATATACATCCATCCATACATCCATTCACAGATTTATATACATCCATCCACCAATATATCTATCTGTATATATCCATCCATTTATATATCTATATCTATCCATCCAAATATCTCTATAAATCCATCCATCCATATATCTATATACATCTATATCGATACATATATCCATATCTATTCATCCATTCATATATTTATATCCATCCATGCATATATTTATATAAATCCATCCATCCATCTATGTTTATCCATCCATCCATATGCAGTTGAAGTCAGAATTATTTATACAAATTTTCTTGCTCTGTTAAACATCTTTTTGGGACTATTAAAAAAAGAAAAGAAAATTAAAAGGGGGACTAATAATTCTGACTTCAACTGTATCTATATCCATCTATCCATTCTTTTATCTATTCATCCATCCATCCATCCATAATTTCTTTCTTTCTTTCTTTCTTTTTTAAAGCTATTGGTTATTACTGTAATACTATAATAATATTCTTAAATACATTTTAACTATTTTAAATTCTAAGGAAATTTTTCAGAATTGTTCCAGGTTTTCTTTACATTTCATTTTGCTAACATGTTCACATCTAACATGCTAGCAATGTCTCTACAGGGTTTGTGTTTCCTTCCGAAGACTGAATGTGACGTTCGTGATGTGGAAGTGGCTCGAGCCGTCAGACTCGGCAAGACCACCATCGAACCTGTGGCCTTTAGAGTGCCTCGTGTGAAAGTAAATGTTCCTCATACCACCATAACACATCCGCTGAAGAATATTCACTATTGACCTTATTTGGCAATGTGGAAGTTTGCTCGTTTTTGCGATTGTTTTAGAACTTGTGGGAGAAATGACAAGGATCAATAAACAGCAGAAAACGGTCAAACTACTTGCTCTACAAACAAGTGTGTTCATGACTATACATAAAAAGTAGAATAATATATGAATAAAATATCAGTTTGCAACATGAAGCACCATAGCGAGCCATTTTTTAACATATATAATGAATGGAAGTAAAATTAGAGGGGACAAATGTGAATACTGAATGGGCAAATGTGAATATTTCATTTGTTTTTTCTCCACAGAAAGAGTTTTTCCAGGATGATGTTTTCCCGGATACCGCAGTGTGGTGGGAATCATCTCTGAGTGCCGCTGACTGGCTCTCTGGATCTGATGGACAGCACCGCAAAATCAGCCTGCGGCCCAAAGACATGACGCCCGGTACATCAACAGCACCAAACACATCTCTCTTTTATCAAAGATGTCCTAAAGCTATTGAACAGCACCCATTATATTATCGATATCCAAAGCTTGTCGGACAGCTGTGTGCTTGTTTTATATTGTTGCAAAAATGTCTGTAAAGCATGTGCTGTTATCTTATAACTTTGATACATTTTTCCCCATCGGAGAAATTCTGATAGTGTGTCATACCAATATCGCAGACAGATATTGTAATAATATAGTATTGTGATTCATCCTGTGGATCCTACTGTAAACTACCTGACAAAAGTCTTGTGGTCGATCTTGTCAGAACAACAAATAATAACTTGACTTCTAGTTGATCATTTGTAGAAGTGGCAGAAGGTCGATTTTTCCTATAAATCATCTGTTGAACTGCATCCCAATCATCACAAATACTGGAGAAGAGCTACTGGAACCGGCATGGACCCAAGATTCTCATAGAAATCAGTCAAGTTTGGTAAAGGAAAAATCATGGTTTGGGGTTACATTCAGTATGGGGGCGTGCGAGAGATCTGGAAAGTGGATGGCAACATCAACAGCCTGAGGTATCAAGACGTTTGTGCTGCCCGATTACATTGAAAACCACAGGAGAGGGCAAACTCTTCGGCAGGATAGCGCTCCTTCTCATACTTCAGCCTGAAAGTTCCTGAAAGCAAAGAAGGTCAAGGTGCTCCAGGATTGGCCAGCCCAGTCACCAAATATGAGTAATATTAAGCATGTCTGGGGTAAGATGAAGGAGGAGGCATTGAAGATGAATCTTGATGAACTCTGGGAGTCCTGCAAGATCGCTTTCTTTGCCATTCTAGATGACTTTATTAATAAGTGATTTGAGTCATAGCAGAGATGTATGGATGCAGTCCTCCAAGCTCATGGGAGTCAGACAAAATATTCATATACTATACATTATTTCTGTTAAGTGACAAGACTTTTGTCTAAGCAAAGTCAGACCTTACTGTCCTAATGAAATCATTAAAAATCAAGACATGATCAAATTTTATTGTGGTAAAATAAGTGTAATCTAGAGGCCTCTGACTTTCATATAAGCCACTTCTGCTACCAAATGATTAACTAGAAGTCAAGTTAGTATTTGTTGTTCCTATAACTTGGGATAGGCGACAAGACTTTTGTCAGGTAGCACTCCTTAAATCTGGCATATATAAAAAATAAAAGTGAAAAATAAAAGCAATTGTACTGTTGTATGAGAAGGTTTCTAAGATAAAGGTACTGTTGTCTTTCAGTGAGTGAAGCACCTAAAGAAGCTCCTGTGAGGAAATACCTGCCCTCATCTGTCTATTTAGAGGAGAAAACTGATGAACAGAAGAAAGAGGAGGTATCTATCTATCTATCTATCTATCTATCTATCTATCTATCCATCCATCCATCCATCCATCCATCCATCCATCCATCCATCCATCCATCCATCCATCCATCCATCCATCCATCCATCCATCCATCCATCCATCCATCCATCTATCTATCTATTTATCTGTCTGTCTGTCTGTCTGCATCTATGCATACATCGTTCCATCTATCCACCCACAAACCCTTTCTTTCTTTCTTTCTTTCTTTCTTTCTTTCTTTCTTTTCTTCATTTCTTTCTTCATTTACCTTCTGCTTAGTCTCTTTATTCATCAGGGATCACCACAGCGGAATGAACCGCCAACTATTCCAGCATATGTTTTACAATGCGGATGCCCTTCCAACTCCAACCCAGCACTGGAAAATCTTTCTTTTTTCCCTCTTTCTTCCTTTTTTCTTTCTTTCTTTCTTTCTTTCTTTCTTTCTTTCTTTCTTTCATTCGTTCTTTCTTTCTTTCATTAATTTTCCTTTGGCTTAGTACCTTTATTCATCAGAGGTTGCCACGGTGGAATGAACTGCTAACTTATCCAGCATATGTTTTACGTTTATGTTAAGAGCATGCCCTTCCAGTACTGCAAAATCTTTTTTCCCTTCCCTTTTTCTTTCTTTCTTTCTTTCTTTCTTTTTTAATTTGATTTTGTTTATTCATTTGTCCATCCATCTTTTCTTTCTTTCTTTCTTTCATTCTTTCTCTACATCTGTTGTTTGTTTGTTTGTTTATTTGTTCGTTAATTTGTCCATCTTTCTTTTTTCTTTCCTTCTTTTCTTTTCTTTCTCTACATCTGTCCATTCATTGTTTGTTTGTTTGTTCATTCGTCCGTCTGTGTTTCCATGAATGCGTTCATCTTTCTTTCTTTCTTTCTTTCTTTCTTTCTTTCTTTCTTTCTTTCCTTCTTTCTTTCTTTTCATCATCCATCCATTTGTTTATTTTTTTGTTTATTCATTTGTCTGTCTTTTTTTCATTTATTTGTTTGTTTGTTTATTTGTTTGTTTGTCCATCTGTCCATCTTTTTATATTCATTCAATTATTCATTTGTTTGTTTGTTTTTGTCTATCTGTCCATATTTCTTTTTCTCTTTTTCATTCATTCATTCATTTTCTTGTCAGCTTAGTCCCTTTATTAATTCGGGGTCGCCACAGCGGAATGAACCGCCAACTTATCCAGCAAGTTTTTACGCAGCGGATGCCCTTCCACACACACACACACTCATACATTACGGACAATTTAGCCTACCCAATTTACCTGTACCACATGTCTTTGAACTGTGGGGGAAACCGGAGCACCCGGAGGAAACCCACGCGAACACAGGGAGAACATGCAAAAACTCCACACAGAAACAACAACTAAGCCGAGTCTCGAACAAGCGACTCAGCCACCTTCTTGCTGTGAGGTGACAGCACTACCTTCTGTGCCACTGCTTCGCCCTCTTTCTCTTTTTACATCCAATAATTTATTTTTGTTTGCCCATCTGTTTTTCTTTCTATTTCCATTTTTTCCTTCTTTCTTTCTTTCTTTCTTTCTTTCTTTCTTTCTTTCTTTCTTTCTTTCTTCCATCTGTTCATTTTTCTTTGTCCAGATGCTTTTTCTTTCTCTACGTTCTTTGTTCATTTATTGTTTTTGTTTGTTTGTCTGTCTGTCTGTCTGTTCTTCCATGCATCTGTGTGTCCATCCATCCATCCATCCATCCATTTTCTTTCTTTTTTTCTTTCTTAATCCATCCATCCATTCATCTATCTTCAGTATCTCTCCTTCATTGCTTTATATTTGTCTCAATAGTTGCTCAGTGCAATGGTGGCGAAGCTGGGAAACAGGGAAGATCCTCTGCCACAGGAGTCTTATGAGGGAGTGGATGAAGACGAGTGGGTGAGTGAAGAACAAACACACATACACACACACACACACAATCTGATCAGAATCCTGAGTGTCTGTTTGTGTGTGTTCCAGGACGATTAGCACACAAGCGTTTCCTGATGGTCCAGTCAGGGTGCCAACAGCAGACAGGAGATGATGCTGTCCTGCTGCTTTAAACTTGCCATTCCAGGGTGCCAAAAAACCTCCTAAACGCTTCATCTCTACACTCCTCCATCCATCACATCTCTAACTGGAGTACTAATATCTCCTATTAATCTTTAAACATGACTTTTATTATTCATACGCACAGCTCAGACGTTCATCTCAGATGCATGAAGCACATTTACAGTACGACAGGGTTTTTTCTGTGATGTTTTTACCGATGGCCATCAGTCTCGCACTGCATGAAATCTTTCTGGATGTTGTCACTCATAAAATGTGCACTTAATACCATCACATGTGTGTTTTACATTGATATTGTGCTAATTTGTGGGATTAAATGTTGCCTTCTTTAGGTGTTAGAGATTTTTTTTCTGCTTTAGCAGAGTAAAAATTAAAGCTGTGCTGAAAATCGTTTGAGAAATCGATTCTGAAATTGAGAAAGCATCACTATTCGCTTTTAATCGATTCTGAGCTTAGCTTTTAACTGTGTATCCCGCTAAAGGCTAGTTTTTAACAGCAGATGGAGCTAAAGGCTAGTTTTTAACAGAAGATGGAGCCAAAGGCTAGTTTTTTACGGAACCCCGGAAGGGACGTAGTGGAGGAGAAAAAAATTGGCTGGGTGAAAAAAAAAAAATGGGTGAAAGAAAAAAATGGGTGGGAGGAAAATATATATTTCTAAGTTTTTGCGTTCTCTCGCAAAGTTTTGCGTTCCCTCGCAAAGATGTTTTCATTCCCTCGCAAAGTTTTGTGTTATCTCGCAAAGATGTTTTGCGTTTCCTCGCAAAGATGTTTTGCGTTCTCTCGCAAAACTGTTTCTCCACAAACACTTCCTGTTCACTTCACTCACGTAAACCCTCCCGTTTTTGCTGGAATTCTCCCATATTTTACCATTCTACCCATGTATAAGCGCTGACTGACAAACGCTCTTCGTACAATAAACTGATCCCAGATCAGCGTCTGTACGCACCATATTGGGACACTTCTGTTATCAAACAAGTGAGCAGCAAATGAATCTCATGTTTTGTTTAGTTTCATAACAGAGGTGTCTCTGTAAAAATGCACAGATCTATAATGAAAGCAGTCCATTACTTTAGAAACTGGTTGTGCTCATTTAAGAGAAAATAAGCTGTTTAAAATAAAACATGCATAACGGAGATGTTTCATATTATTAATGTATTTGTCTGTTTAAACATACACCCGCTCCTCTGTAAATGGCGTGTACAGACGCTGATCTGGGATCAGTTTATTGTATGGAGCGCGTCTGTCAGTCAGCGCTTATACATACTGGTTCAGAGGTAGCATATGAAAGTCGACGATCGACGCACAGTAATGTAAAGAAAGTGGGGGAGGAATGGTAAAATACGGGAGAATTTCGGCAAAAACGAGAGGGTTTACGTGAGTGCAGTGAACAGGAAGTGTTTGTGGAGAAACAGTTTTGCGAGATAACGCAAAACATCTTTGCGAGATAACGCAAAACTTTGCGAGGGAACTCAAAATATCTTTGCGAGATAACGCAAAACTTTGCGAGGGAACGCAAAACATCTTTGCGAGGGAACGCAAAACTTTGCGAGAGAACGCAAAAACTTAGAAATATATATTTTCCTCCCACCCATTTTTTTCTTTCACCCATTTTTTTTTTCACCCAGCCATTTTTTTTTCTCCTCCACTACGTCCCTTCCGGGGTTCCGTAAGTTTGTAACAGCAGGTGGAGCTAAAGGCTAGTTTTTAACAGCAAATGGAGCTAAAGGCTTGTTTGTAACAGCAGATGGAGCTAAAGGCTAGTTTTTAATAGAAGATGGAGCTAAAGGCTAGTTTTTAACAGAAGATGGAGCTAAAGGCTAGTTTGTAACAGCAGATGGAGCTAAAGGCTAGTTTTTAACAGTAGATGGAGCTAAAGGCTAGTTTGTAACAGCAGATGGAGCTAAAGGCTAGTTTTTAACAGAAGATGGAGCTAAAGGCTAGTTTTTAACAGAAGATGGAGCTAAAGGCTAGTTTTTAACAACAGATGGAGCTAAAGGCTAGTTTGGAACAGCAGGTGGTGCTAAAGGCTAGTTTGGAACAGCAGATGGAGCTAAAGGCTAGTTTTTAACAGCAGATGGAGCTAAAGGCTAGTTTTTAACAGCAGATGGAGCTAAAGGCTAGTTTTTAACAGCAGATGGAGCTAAAGGCTAGTTTTTAACAGCAGATGGAGCTAAAGGCTAGTTTGTAACAGCAGATGGAGCTAAAGGCTAGTTTTTAACAGCAGATTGAGCTAAATGCTAGATTTTAACAGCAGATGGTGCTAAAGGCTAGTTTTTAACAGCAGATGGAGCTAAAGGCTAGTTTTTAACAGCAGATGGCGCTCTAGATTTGCATAAAAGGCTATTTTTTTACCAACAGATGGTGTTAAATGTTAGCTTATAATAGCACTTTTTGCTGAAAGCTAATTTTTAACAGCAAAAGGCGCCTAAAGCTAGTTTTTAATAGTAGTTGTCGCTAAAGTGTAGTTTTTAACAACAGATGGCGTTAAATGTTAGCTTATAATAGCACTTTTTGCTAAAAGCTATTTTTAACAGGGGATCGAGCTAAAGGCTAGTTTTTAACAGCAGAAGGTGCTAATAGCTAGTTTTTAGTTTTTCTAGTTTTTTTTTTTAGCAGTTGTTGCTAAAGTGTGGTTTTTATCAACAGATGATGCTCTAGACTAGTCTTTGCCAGCAGATGGTGCGGTAGACTTGCACAAAAAGCTAGTTTTTAACAACAGATGATGTTAAATGTTTATAAAAGCACTTTTTGCTTAAAGCTAGTTTTTAACAGCAGATAAAAGTAATGGCTAGTTTTTAATAACTGTTTTCGCAAAAACTATTTTTTCCCTGCTAAAAAAAAACTACTTAAACCAGCCTAAGCCGGTTGGCTGGTTTTAGCTGGTCAACCAGCCTGGTTTTAGAGGGATTTTGGCCATTTCCAGGTTGGTTTCCAGCCATTTCGAGCCTTGTCATAGATGGTCAATCTGGAAAATGACCAGCTAAAACCAGCTAGACCACCCTGGACATAGGTGGTTTTGGCTGGGCGTCCAGCCAGCTAGGCTGGTCAAGCTGGTTTTAACAGGTCATCTCCCAGCCTGACTATCTAAGACCAGGCGAGGACTGGCTAGAAACCAGCCTGGACTGGCCAAAACCCCTCTAAAACCAGAATGGTCAACCAGTTAAAACCAAACAACTAGCCTAGGCTGGTTTAAGCAGTTTTTTTTTTCTCAGCAGGGTTAGCAATAGATGGTGCTCTAGACTAATTTTTAACAGCAGATGATGCTCTAGAGTCTAGACAGCACATGCCGCTCTAGACTATGTCTCTAAACGCTTTTAACAACAGACGGCGCTAAATGTTAGTTTATATTAGCAGTTTTTTACTAAAAGCTCATTTTTAACAGCAAATGAAGCTAAAGGCTAGTTTTAACATCAGACTGTGCTCGAGACTATGCACTAAAGGCTATTTTTTAACAACAGAAGGTGCTAAAGACTACTTTTTAATAGCAGTTGTCTAATATAGCGATTTTTAACAGCGGTTAGAGCTAAATGCTAGTTTTTAACAGTAGATGGAGCAAAAGGCTAGTTTATTAACAGCAGACATAGGACACTGTTAAAAACGAGTCTATAGCGCCATCTGCTGATAAAAATACCATTTAGCGCCATCTGCTTTTTAAAACTAGCCTTTAGCACCACCTGAAAGAAAGAATAGAGATGCATTTTGGAAATCTCAGAATGTTGAATCGATTTCTCAACCGATTTGTTTTTCAGCAGAGCTCTGGTAAAGATATTGTTAAAGGAAAGACACTGCAGATGAAACAACAAGAAGCTAATAGTTACCACCGTGCTTCCGGAGTTGATTGATTACATAAAGAACTGCAAACAATTGTTGTATTACAAGTTTTCTATGAGGCTATGTCTGTATATGCAAATAAGGAATTAATTAAATAAACATACATACATTTAAAGCACAATCATTGGATGAATTCAGGTTTAATTTACTTGCCAGATTGAAGTTAAAGGTTTTGCCAAGGGGATTTTGGGAATGTCTTTGTATCACTAGTAATGCTAACAAAAATGTTGTAGGATAAAATATAATCAGGCTAATCAATTATGAACATTAATAAACAACAGGCATGAAAATAACTGTAACAAGCTGCATTTATAACCAAAAAATCTTTGAGAATATGTATTGTACCTTAATCTACCGACAACTGATACAGTGTGACAAAAGTATGCCTTAGTTTGATGTTTCTTTACATTGACAAAGATTTAAATATAACCTGCAGTGTCTTAATATGTCTGAACTTTTTAAAGCGAAAACGTCTGTTTAAATCTAAATGAATGATCTGGGAACTGTTTTACACTCCTTTTTAAAATGGCAAATACACTACCTGACAAAAGTCTTGTTGCTTATCCAAGTTTTAGGAACAACAAATAATAACTTGATCATTTGGTATCAGAAGTCACTTATATGAAAGTCAAAGACTTTGACTCCCAGAGTTCATCAAGAGTTTTTGGTTTCATCTTCGATGCCCCCTCCTTCATCTCACCCCAGACATGCTCAATAATGTTCACTTCTGGTGACTGGGATGGCCAATCTTGGAGCACCTTGGTCTTCTTTGCTTTCAGGAACTTTAATGTGGAGGCTGAAGTATGAGATGGAGCGCTATCCTGCTAGAGAGTTTGCCCTCTCCTGTGGTTTGTAATGTAACTGGCTGCACAAATGTCTTGATACCTCAGCGGTTCACTCTGCAGATCTCTCGCACACCCCCATACTGAATGTAACCCCAAACCATGATTTTTATTTCACCAAACTTGACTAATTTCAGTGAGAATTTTGGGTCTATGCGGGTTCCAATAGGTCTTCTGCACTTTTTGTGATGATTAGGATGCAGTTCAACAGGCAATTCAGAAGAAAAATCTGCCACTTTTCCAAATAATCAACTAGAAGTCATTATAATTTGTTGCTTTTGCAATTGGGATCCACCACAAGACTTTTGTCAGGTAGGCTACTCACTCTGTGTGTTTGCTTCTGCTTATGCTCACCAACAGTATTAACACAAATCTACTTCACAAGGGTTTTTCCTCCTAATCAGGTCTATCATGAGGCAATATAATGTTTTTTATTGTTATTAATAGAACATGTTTACATATGCCAGGAAAGGACTCTTGTTCTGCATGTTATGGTATGGCGTGACCTCCTGTGCTTGACATGTGACCATGTGTTCTCGTATATATGAGCGGTAGGTGTTTATAGATGTTGTAATGATCTGCTAAGTGTTTTTAATC